GATGAGCGGGCCGGGGCTCGGTCCTAACGGCCAGGTCTGGGATCTGAGTCTTTTCCACGTGACCTCCCTGGGCAGGATCCCCCTGCTGCCCGCGGGGCTGCAGGGCTACAGGGCCGCAAGGTTTAAATGCATGAATGGAAAATTTCTCGCCTTCTCTCCCCGTCCCCGCCCCCCTCGCACGGCTCTCGCCCAGTCTGAACGCCACGAGGTCTTTTAAAATAATTTCTACTTTGATGAATTGCTGGGGAGTCCACGATCGCTCATAATCAAAGGGAGAAGAATGCAAATGAGATCCGGCCGAGAACTATCACCACCAAACGTTTATTTCACTGCGCAGTGCCAAAAAGAATTAAAACAACATTAAACTCACAGCAATCATGTTTAAGCCCTCGTTTTCAAGTGCCAAATTGCACCACTCTGGATCATACAGATGTTCGTTAATTATGCTAATTTTTATTAAACCATTAAAATGGAGAGCCCTGGCTCAGCCACACGGACCCAGCTCTGAATGAACCCTGCTCTTGTCTAGCGGTGATAATTTACTGCGTTTTTATTAAGTTGCTGATTCTTGGATTTCAGTTCATGGATGACAGAGAGAACTGAATTTCTGGGATCAATGTTTTCCATAAAACTTGACTTCTTTTTGCCAAGATGTTTGGAAAAACTGGAAAAAATACCAAGACTCTCCCAGATGACCTGAAACCCACAGCTCGGATGTTTTTCTATCATGCAAGTGCGGGCTATGAGTCTCACGGAACAACATCCGGGCCTCTCAATTATACACAGTCCCTGTCTGAACTCTCAAGATTTTAATGATACAGAATTGTTACCTGAAGATGCTTATGCTAAGAATCCAAAAACATTATTTATTTTTTACTTTTTGGTTTTTATGGAGACAGGATCTCACCATGTAGTTCATGCTGACCTTGAGCTCATTGTGTAGCCTGGGGTGGCCTCGAACTTGTGACAATCCTCCTGCTTCAGCCTTCCCAGTGCTGGGGTTAAAAAATTATTTATTTGAAAAAAAAAAAAAAAAAAGCAACAAAATCCTTCATACCAGCACTTGCTTCTTGCCACAGAGCCCCCTGAAGGAAGTACAGTGTGTGGTTTGTTTGCATCATAAATATTTCTAGGTTTGATTAAACATCTTTTCCTGCACCAAGCTTGCCCTACCTTTCCTGAAAGAAATGTTAGAAAACAAAAGTCAGCTATTTGGAGTCCACTATGGGACGGCAGAAGCTGTTGTCTTGGAGGAGGGGAACCAGAGATGCGGGGCTCCCCATCAGCCACAATCAGACGCATTTATGGGGGGCTGCACACAGCTGGAAAAAGGGATTTATGCCGCTAATCTCCATCAACATGGAAAAAAAAAACCCCACCAAACCTGCCATAAAAAAAACAGCAAATTCTATAAACACAAAGCAGTATGGTCACCGACCACGGGCATGCCGCGCAGCATGACTCAGCCTCCAGTGGTTTCCTATTGCTGTTTATGGTTTCGAGATGGTCGCGGACCTCCTCAGTCTCCTCCAGTCACAGGACCCGGCGCCCCTGTGTGGCACTGAAGTACCCTGTCAATAGGTGTCAGGGGATGGGAAGGGGAAACCAGCAGGCGCCCATCATAAGCCTTAAAAGAAATTAAATACCCCCACTCTGTGATTGCTGCATTTTAATTTCCCTCCTCCCCGCTGGTCCTATTTGTAGAAGCCCTTCCGTGCCTCCCCTGGAGGAGCGCAGACCCGTCCTGGAATGACCATCCTGTCCTGGGATGAGAATTCAATTTCCAGCCTCAGTGACTCCTAGGCAGTTCCCACAAAAGGAAGTCGCTGTCCACAAGGGCAGGGCTCTTGGGCCCGCATGCGCCCCGGGCCTGGCTGGGCTCTTGGCCTCCCGAATGGGCCCAGCGGGTGGTGGGGTCGCCTCCCCCGGACTGAGGCCCAGCCCTTTCCTCCCATTCTTGCAGGGTTGATGAACCCATTGCAGATTCCAAGCAATATTTCAGAGGGAAAACACAATCCCCTTTATTAAGGAAGTACAGCGCAGGAGAACCAGGAGTCCACGTCTTCCCATAATTCCAAGTCTTTGAACTTAATTTTTAATATTTATTGTTTTAGACAAGGTCTCACTATACAGTTCAGGCTGGGCTTGAGCTCACTTTGTAGCCCAGGCTGGTCTCAAGCTCATAGCAATTCTCCTGCTTCAGCCTCCTCAGAGCTGGGTTTAAAAGCATGTGTCACCACACCTGGATGACTCTTTTCTTTTCTTTTCTTTTCTTTTCTTTTCTTTTCTTTTCTTTTCTTTTCTTTCTTTCTTTCTTTCTTTCTTTCTTTCTTTCTTTCATGTATTTGGTACAGGGTCTCACTACACAGCTTGGACTCGTAGTGATCTTCCTGTTTTCAGCCTCCCCAGCTCTGGGATTACAGGCGTGCGCCACCACAGCTGGGCTCAGTGGCAGACTGAGCGTGCTTGGGGGCAGGTCTGGCATGACATGTGGTGCTAGGGATTGAACCCCAGTCCCTACGCTTACCTAAGCAGGTGATTAGCCTGCTGAGCTATCTCTCTGCCCCAGCCCCCCATCCCCCTTTTTAAGTCTTGCTATGTAGCTAGGCTGGCCTCAAACTCCTGGCAATCCTCCTGCCTCAGCTTCCTGAGTGCTAGACTCACAGGCGTGCAGCACACCCCCATCGCCCATGCTGGGCTCCTCAGCTTGAGCCCTTCACTGACTGGGTGCTCCCTCTGAGCTTGTCTGACCCTGGTGAAGCACCGCCCTTGTTATCTGTGACTTAATCACATGGCGCCTTCTCTTAGTGTCCTTTTAGACCTTCATAGGACC